AAAAGTTCCTTGCCTTTAATAATGGTATGTCAGTTATGTTAGGCCTTAGCCAAAGTTGGTTGACTCAACACTGCAAACGAGACTTTGGGTGATTGCCCAGGTAGTCAGTTGTCTCTGTCATTTGTTGCACATTTTGGATATTTCCCGTTTATTAAGTAATATTAATTCCCTTCTCAGATCTTTGACAGAGTTAAAGATTAGATAATTGTAGTTACTCTCTACATTATTTAGACTCCTTAAAATAGAATGTTTAATATATTTATTATTTGTTCCTATTGTATATAGTTGTATTTGGTTTGGCTCTATCTTATTTAGACAAAAGGGGGAGTTGTAGGGGTAGCCTCAGCCAATCACCTTGCTTGTAGGGCAGGGTCATTTAGAGCAGTGGCTCTCAACCTGTGGTTTGTGATCCTTTGGGGGGGTCAAATTACCCTCTCACAGGGGCCACATATCAAATTTCATTCATATCAGATATTACGTTACAATTCAAAATAATAGAAAAATTACAGTTATGAAGTAGCAATGAAATAACTTTATGGCTGGGGATCGCCACAACATGAGAAACTGTATTAAAGGGTCTCAGTATTCGGAAGGTTGAGAACCACTGCCTTAGGAAGACTAACTTAAAGGACCTGTTTGCTATTAGGTACAATCATGAGAAATTGACCAGAAATGTCATTCCTAGTGGCCCAATTTAGTCACCAGCAACACACTGACATGAGGCCACACTGACAGTTGTGTTGGGAACTTACACCAAATGTCCTCAGAAAATGCTCACCTCAACTTCCCTGGCTCCTCTTCTGTTATAGGTGAGGAAACTGAGCCTTGAAAGATACAAAGAAGTTTGTCACACAGCTAGTAGGTGGCAAAACCAAAACCGGAGTGGATCTGGAAGCAGGCAAACATCTTCATATGTAGTATCCTCTCTCTATAACTCTAGTTGGTGACGGGCATCAAAGCAAACTCTTCAAGAATATTTTCACATATTTATCCAAAGACATGTAGGACATTGTTTATATTTTTATGTTCTAACACTAGACCTGCAAGTCTTTGTTGTGTGATGGTTTTGCTCTTTAGGCTCTTTTGGGGGCCTGCCACCCAGCTCCCAAATTAATCACACACGGAGGCATATTCTTAGTTACAAGTGTTCAGCTTAAGTTTGGCTTGTTTCTTGCCAGCTTTACTTAACTTCAGCTGTCCCATCTACCTTTTCTCTCCAAGCT